GTGTGTGTGTGTGTGTGTGGTGAAATCAACCGAATTGTCCATCATCCATCGTAATTTTCCGTTTTCATTGCTCTTCGTTCACGTGATCAGCTGAACGTCCAGTTACGGATGAAGAGTTGGACGAAATGCTCAAATCAGATAATCCTCAGATTTTCACTCAGGGGGTAAGTAACTGCAAATCTTTTGATCCGTTCCTATTAGTCTACATCATATCTCTACAGCTGTTTTCGTTCAGACTGTTGATTTTAAACAATCCACTACATATCATTTATGATGTGCACTTAAAAACCCCGCGATTAGAGTAGTACACTGTCAAACATCCGCATAGTTAGCTCACTACATGTATCGGTTGCATCGGATGAATCATATCCCGGATGCAATAAATCGGCTAAATAAGTACCATACTTCGAGACCTTCAAGTGTGCAACCTTATCAGGAGCTCAATATGCAAAGAATCAGACATCTTTCTATTGTCAAGATTTGAATCTTTATATCGTTTTCGCTCGCCATCCTTAACTACACACCATTTAGGAGTTTTGTTAGTGTCTGTAGCATTCGGATTCCAACAAGAAACTGATGTCCTTTTTAAAAACTCACACATGTCCCCCATTCTTCGCGCTTACACGGTNCGGTTCTGGTTTCCCATCGTGCGTGTTTTTTTTTCACATTTACATGCATACGAGTCAATCAGTGGACAAGTTGTTTTCAGTGTTTAGATCACAAATCATTCTCAGGGAAGAGAATAACGAGATGAGGATAATTATTTGCCCAGCGCCATGCACCAATTCTGTCGCTGTTTCGTCTTAAATTTCATAAGGGTCACTTTTGGTGATCATTCACACATCACAGTGAACATCTGAATAGCTGGTGAGTAAAAGATATGATTACATTAGATGAGGTATTCAGTTGCATGCACTATTCCGTAATTTAGGTCCATTCGGACTACTTTTGCTGAAAATAGCCGAAACAGATTTTAATCAACATGGTTTCGTAGATTTCAGTTGCTATATTACTACTTTTTTTGCAACTGTCTGCTTACGGTCGCTATGGTAATAGCCATTGTTGCGAACGAGCTTTCCCCTATGTTGACAACCTATTCTGTCCCGGGTTTCCTTGGTTCCATCCTCTAACTGACTAGCTCGCATTACAGAATGGGATGAATCGATCCGTGACCAAATACGGAAGTAGTGTGCAATTCATAATAGCTATATTGTTGCGAAAATAATCAACAGTTTCCATCGTAGCTTTTCTCAATTGCCCCATCATTATTTGGTTTTGGTTTTTGGATTAAGGTATTATCTGACGCTGACTTGTTGGGGTAAGAAAGTGTTACTGTCCTATATTGCCTTCTACGAATGACTCGGCTTCAGCCATATGCATGGATTACATTTGCATGCGTTTTACGGAGAGAATCTTTTTTGCGTTTCCGCTGTGCATTCGACTCGCGACCGATGTTGTCTCCAATGTGATCTCCATTTTATGGTTCCGGCTATAATGCTGTCTCTCTCTCTCTCCAATGGAGGGGGCGAGCCGGAGAGAGAAAAACCGAATCACGTGACTTTCGATCTGTTTGATATCTCATTTACATGCTTGTGATTGATTGAATGTGTGACCGTGTTGTATGTAATGGTTTCTCAATTTAGCACCTGTGGTTCCGCCTGATTGGCATATGTCCTATCTTACCTAAGTGAGAACAAACCGCTGGCTTAACTGAAATGTTTTCTAGTACGAAAATAACTTCACCGGTTACCAAAACAGTATACCATGTTGCCCTATCCCAAACAAAAATATGTTCTGGTATAGTAAATCAGTGACGTATTCGAAAATATCCTCTATCATTCAATAATGTTCGAAGGCAGACAAAGAGAACTGGTCAGCTGTTTCACTTTTTGCCGGAACTCATCAACCGCGCGTACTAATGAAGAAAAATCTCTTACTTCGTTCCAAACAAATGAAAATCTGCTCACTTCTTGTGTCTCATCGGTCTCTAGGTCTGAGTACGTTGAACACACACTGCCGATCACCAGCATTTGATCACCAGTCGAGCTACTTCTTAAATTAATCCCCTATGAACACATTCTAGTCGAATAGGGGCTCATGGGCCATCCCAAATGGATGATGAATATTCACCAATCCAGTAGTATTCTACCTGCGAGCGATTTCTGTACTGATTGCTTTAGCACAAAGATTGTTGTACAGTGATTTTCTGAGGAAACGACGAAGCCACGATACCAGAGATGGGTGCAATCCGAACGTGGGTAATTTTGACGGCAGACCTTCATGCCAAACGCGATCGAAGGCCTTTGAAATGTCGAACGAGACCATTTTAGTTTCTCCGTTGTTATCAAGTGCAGCCGAACAGGAATGCGAGCGCCAGTAGGTCACCCGTAGATCGACGAGGGTGAGATCCATACTGACAGTCATTTAACAAACCTTCACGTTTGAGAAACGTACGCAGTCGGTCGGAGACAATGGTTTCAAACACTTTCGAAATTACAAATGTGAGAGTGATTGGACGGTAGTTGTTTGGGTCGGAAGGGTCACCACGCGCTTTGGGATTGGAAAAATACTGGCATTTTTCCATGGGTTAGGGAAAGATTTTTGTTCGTGTGAATAACAAAAAAAGCGACGTAGAGAACAGGGGCTAACTCCGGGGCACACATTTTCAGGACGACAGGTGGAATACCGTCGGGATCGGGTGGTTCACAAACATCCAGACCGCGAAGAGTTTGGTGAATCTTTCTGGTTGTTATGATAGGTATAAAGGAATGACTGGATGTGTAGGAGGATGTGTGTAGGGTTGAACAGTAGAGGTGGCAGATAAGGTGGAGTTGGAGGCAAACCGGGAAGCGAAGACCCCTGTCTTTTTGTGGGGATCACAAACAAGAGTACCAGAGTAATTGCAAATGGGAGGATAGTTGGAAGGGCAGAAATTATGCGAAACCGCTTTAGCGAGGGACCAGAATGTTCAGTTACTGGTGGCGGAAGAAGCCAAGCGCGCAGCTTTGCGATAAATGAATCGTTCTTTAGCTCTCTGAATGGTGACCGAGCATTTATTTCTGGTTTGCACGAAGTGGTTGCGGAATGCTGAGTTTTTAAAACGTACAGCATGGTCGCAAACATGAATACCCCCCCCCCCCCCCAGGGGATCGTGATTTGCCGGGTTTGGAGAAGTGTGGAATATAAAGAAACATGCCTTGAAGAATAATCTCCGTGAAGTTTGGGACACTTGGAAACATCCGATTTAAAACAACAATCTTTCCAGGGATAACAAGCCAGAACGTCACGAAAACCGTCCTAGTTGGCTGAATCATAACGCCAAAAGGTGCACTAGTGGTGAAGTGGAGTGAGAGAACTGAGTGGGAAAAGAAATGAGACAATGATCCGATGAGCCTAATGGGGGAAGGGAAACGATGTTGGAGAAAGAAGAGGGAATGGATGTGAGAATGAGGTCGAGGGTGTGGACGCGGTCACCAATACGATCAGGGATCCGTGTGGGAAGGTCAACTAGTTGGCTTAGGTTGTTAACCACATCAAAAGCCTCAGCTTCTCGTCCCATGAAGGTGGTGTCTGACGGTAGCTTCAGCCATTCCTTGTTGTGGACATTGAAATCTTCGAGTATGGTGATTTGGCTGTTTGAATCTGCCGACATTAGCGTCTCAATGTTGGGAGATAGAATATCAAAAATAGAAGAGTCACTGCTGCTTGGAAAGCGGTAAACAGTACAAAATAGTGGTTGAACGAAGGGAATCGAAGTTTCAGCCACATAAGTTGAAATTCACGGTTAGAGAAGTTTAAATGTGAAAGTCGGGAAGAAGCGATAGAATGATGGATATAGGCGCAGACACCAGCTTTGGAAAGAAAATAAGAATGAAGGGAGTGATTAGGGAACTGGAAATGAGTAGTGTCTAACGAGGGGGAGATTTGAGTCTCCGTCAAAAATAAAGCCAAGAGGAAAGAGGATTGTAGAAAGTGGTGTACAGAATTAACGTTTCAATTTAAACTACGAATGTTAGTAAGGGCTATGGAGTGTTGTGAGTTCGTAGGTAGAGTGCGCATTCTGTGATTTCTGTGAGTTGTATTGTTCATTTGTGGTGTGATAGAAGACCGGCAACCCAACCCTGAGACTTGGAGTGGTGAACCACATAAAACCACAGTAGGTTGGCGTGGTAGTGAGCCGGGCAAATAATCTATCTTCCGCTTGAATTTGCTCTCAATATTCGAATCTTCATCCAACTTTTTTATCCAAATGGGCAACCAAAAGAGAGAAACCAAAACCGGCGTACGAAAGTGAATGGTTAATGGTTCTAAGAACTGAATCCAAGTTAGATACTCAAAAATTGATTAAGCTATTCGCGTAAGGTCATGCCCGTCAACCATGTAGCTCAGGGGTTAGAAGTCCCAACCCCGAATGTTTGTGATTCGAACCTGACAGGGACACAAAAAGTACGCACTGCTAACTATTCCCAAATAGGACGAAACAGCTGCCCAGTGCTCTTTGTCGACCATCACAACCGTTTCCATTGTGTTTAAATATTATACGCCTCCTAAAGTTTCAGTTTTCACAACTTCTAACCTTTCGTTGCCATGCGCCAGTTTCGGTTTCTGTCTTCCGGTTACGCATTTGATCAACCAGTGAGCAAGGAATAAGCGACAGTTTTGAGGTGAAAGCTCTATCAAAATAGGGCTACAGAATACATGCAGAGTGGGTTTCCAGAGAACACGAGTAGATGCATGAGTGTTACTGTGTAAGAAACTCAACCATATCACATACTATCTCTAATCATTGGTTAGACTGGTCTGCAAGTCTAAGAAAACACTAGTCACTTATCACATGGAAGTTCGGTGATAATTCGTTTTGTGTACTTGATTTTTAATCTCTCGACCACCTCCTAACTATTCTAAACAACAGTTATTAATATGGTACCTTGATTAACTCTCTGTTCCTTCCATTGTTTCAATCAATTACGTCTGGACTTGTTGTGTGCTTCATGTCACTTCGAACGCCTTGTTTCTGTTTTCCCCTCTACTTTCTTCCGGATATGCACATTGCTGATTGCCTTGCCGAATATGTCTGGACTGCATGTTTTCTGAGTGTCCTGATCCTGTGCCTTTCGGGTGTCTGGAATGTTTGATCCGATCGCTCTTTACTTTTCTCTCTCTCTGAGATTGGTTCACTTCTCTCATTGTTCACAAATGTTTGTCTTTGTCTTTGACTATTAGATTCTGATGGACACTCAACAAGCCCGACAAAATGTTGCAGACATCGAGGCGCGGCATGAAGATATCATGAAATTGGAACGGAGCATCCGGGAGTTGTATGATTTGTTCAATGATCTGGCAAACCTGGTCGAAACTCAGGTGACTTCCTCTTCCATTTAGAATTTTCTCAGTAGCAAAATAGTCCATTCCCGGGCAATACCCATCCATTCATCATATCACTCACTACAGGTCCCTATGCTGTGTGTGCGTGTTGATTCGTTTCCAATCCGTTATGTGAACTTGCTATTTTTTCCTCACTGTCTCTGTTTGTCCCATCGCATAGTTTATTCAAACATTCTTGCGAATATACTACGCCGACGTAATTCACCTAGTTTCTCAGACATGGAAGTGTTTGCCATGTTCCAAAGTTTATATACGAATAATCGAATGGAGTTAGATCTGAACACGTTTAGAGGTCATTATTCCAGCTTTTCACACATGTGTACCGTTTCACTTTCAGTCACATTAACGTGGTCTGTTTCTCTCTCTCTCTCTCTGTCTCTCATGCTCATTGTTGTTGCATCACCTGAATCAGTGGTTTACGTGTACGAGAATGCACGTTTCTCATCTGAAACATTGAAGTCAATGACGTTTATAGACATCTATTGATTAGGACCTTGTATTATGCAATGGTCTGTGCTTTCGCCGCACGCTTCTATGATGATTTTTCGTGCATATTGTTATGCACTCGTTTACTCGTCCCTGTTTTCCCCCTCCCGCTTCAGTATCTCATCTTTGCTTTGGTTCACCACTACAGCTATTACACAGAATAAACTCGTACAACATTGTTATTCACCTCGTCTGGTGTGACACACTGTGCCAAAGCCTTCATTGATAGGCTCAGGTTAACCCACCCCTGATCGATGGTATTACATGCCATTCTTTTGGCAACTATTAAGCCCGAAAACAATATTCCTCATTTTACGTCTAATCACTGGTTATATCATGATGTCTATATTGTTCTCATTGATCTCAATCTTCAACCACAATGTACAATCGGATACAAAAAGAGCCTAGGCAATCTTTTCACTTTTATTTGTTGGAACAGGAAACAATCACCGTTTGCCATAACTGTATGCCTGGACTACAGTTGGTTTTGGCCTGGAGCCAAATTTTCCCACAAGCCATAATCTAATCTCACGTGGGACGGCACTGTTGTTGTTGGCAGCTGCTGGTATGGGTCCCTTGGAGTTTTCGTGCATTTCTTGGTCCACACTTGTCGATCCTGACCATTTTCAGACACTCATTCTGGGTTCGGTTTACCCGTGATACACAAACACAGTGGGACAACATGAAACGCTTGCTTACAATTGCTTATAAGCGTTTGCTATTGATCTGTTGCGTGCTTGTCAGTGCAATCATCTGCTGAGAATTTCAACAACGAGTTGCATCCTAATAGAGAATTGTTTCACTCATCTATCAATGCAGCGATGCACAGACATGGTTTCTCGAAATTCCGTTGCATTTCTACTTAGTCGCACAATGGATACTCGCAGCGGAGTACTTCAATGCTTGGAGTACGCTCATACGGTCATATAGAACACAATTTTAGCGAGCGGTTATTTTCACTCGTTCATGATTGTTATGTCTCGCAAGATCCGCTTTCAATCGTGCAGTTCTAACTCTCCAACCACCCACCGCTTAAAAAGGAAAAGCCAGCAAAAACAGCATGAAATTCCTGTTCATGGTCGTACAACTGCGTTACAGTTCAATGGAAACACCTGCTCTTTATATATACATGACTCGTCCTTGAGAGTTGTGAACTTTCAATGATTACTACTATTATGGTTAGCAAAATCATACATTTGTAAAAACGCAGGCACCGAGTATATTACCACTTCGTACATATGCAATACTACCGCTGTTTGGCTCTGCAGTAAAGGTGATTAGCCACAATCAGTTCACGATTGTGGACATCAAGGTCGAAACTAGGTAAATACTCTTATTGTCTCCCTCCGCAGCAGTTTGAAAGTGAAATACTCCTGTACCGTCCTACCAACTAACCAACCAAAACGAAAATTGCGTACCTACGGTTGAATAACTTTTTCGTCTTTAACTATGTAGATTGCAGAGCACTAACTGTAGTGACGTGTTACTAGATTGGTGCAAGCATCTTTGTACTCAAAAGACAAATGAACATTCTTCAGTTCTTTCCATGACATACCGATTATTGCGTCAGAGTGTGTACCATTGTCTGCATCACTGTTTGCTTTTAAATGAATTTGGTGTCCGAACTATCTATCTGACCAATGCAATCTTCTGTTTCACGCTCCAGGGTGAGATGATCGATCGGATTGAATACAACGTGGCCAATACCAAAGATCACGTGGAAAATGCCAAAATCGCGGTCACACAAGCTGTGGTCTATCAAAAGAAATCTCGAAAGGTACGTCCCTTGGATTGGTTGGTAAGATGCGATGCGTTCATGATTCGTATTCAGGAGCTGTTTTTATCCGTCCTTCGAAAACTTGTTTTTTTGAAATATGTTTACTGAACTAGCGTTAGTATTTTCCGAATAACTTTTGAAGCATTTTCCAATGGGATATCTCTTGTAGTTACCTGGAAACGTGCCATGAAATTATCTGAAATCTCTTCTCGAAACGATCACTGTTAGTTATCTCATACAGCGACACGCGCTATAACACAAGTATCATGCGAGTGACCGTGTCAACCAGACTCTGGAGAAAAGACACACACATAAAGTAGTAAGGCGCCACACTCCGCAGGATTTATTAGTCAAATGCACACAACGGAATCATTTGTTACTCTCATTCTTCATAGGTTAATAAATGATACTGAACTTGAATGTTAGTGGGTGACGGAAACCACGAATCCGGCCATGTGCTTGCACAAAAAGTCAGTCGAGTGATTTCAGTAGTAGTGATGTTCAAACACGAGCTGCTGAACTGATTTGCAGTACACGTTTTGCTGAACCTGTGTTAAGCGGAATTTTCTAGGAAGGGATAAGAACCCGTGTGATTTTTACAACGGGCTCTATTCAGCCACTTGGGCTAGGTCTAGGACCCTGGGGTTAAAATAAAAGAGAGCAACAGAGGTTGAACAAGTGTGAATCGGAGTGCATATTCAGAGAGGCAGCAAATACTGTTTTAAAATTGAGTTAAATCGTTCTTAGATTAGTTCAGTATATTTTGTGTTTTGATCTGAAACAAGCACACAATATCAAATTCTCTTATATGGTAATTAAGCATTCGTTGTATATACGTTGTATGTAGTGCTGGTCGCTGCTCATTCCGTTGGCCAATCGTGGTTATTTTACATTGTTACTACGAAGTGCATAATTCCCTGGTGTGATTAGTGATATTGACCTCGTCTAAGCTGTTTGTATTAAACCGAGTCGGTTTGTTTCAATTCCGTGCCCACTCCATTCAGTTGCTTTCACACACACACGCACACACACACACACACAATAGTATGACCTCTGTTTCTCTTTAACTTCTCATACTATCCTTTATTTTCCAATCTTTTCTTCTTTGTGTTCCAAAAAACACCTTCTCCTCTTTCCTGAAATGTTTGATCTCTCCTGGGTTGACTTCATAGGACCGTGGATTGCATATTGAATGTACATTCAACATAGGCATTTCGTTCGTAGTATTGCACTACTGTTATTATCATCACCCACATAAATAACTGTTTTTGCGTTGTATAACTATGCTCATGCGCATCATCTGGAATTCACCCGTGAAACTATGGCCAGCTAACGAATTTTTTTAGAGGAGAGTGATTCCCGAGTAATAGCCATATTATATATATATATATATATATATATATATATTCTCCACTGGTTATTTTATTGTATGTAATAAACCGTCGTCTGAGTGTGTTCAGTAATGGGTCAACACGGATTGGTTACTGTTTCTCTTTCCTTGATGTCTATAGCACCTTCGGCAGTCTAAGCTGACTTCGTGAGTGATCATTAAGTTTCGTGAGACGTTAGTACAAAGGACGCTCCCAGGGTCACTCAGCTTTTTTTTATTACGAGAGTGCACCTCTAGGCTTTACACAGTCAACATTGCACCACAAACCAGTAGTGTTTTGATATAGCTTTGAGGAGCTTGTTCACCGTTCGACTGGCGAGAAATCAAACAAAGGACTCATGAGGATCCCAGCTGGCTTGATAGATTTCCTTCATGGCCGTTCAATAACGGAGTAGATTTCGGCAACCCACTATGACGTACTTGCCTTTGCTTACAATGCGTCGTCACTCAGAGATTTGGATCACCGTTTATGCTCAATCTGGATCAATTCACGTGTGGAGCGGTTTGCCGAGGTGTGATCGGGTGTATGGATCAGCCACAAGATGCCACAAGTGAAAGTGAGATAGCTGCTGTCTAGTGAACCCACGGTGGTTGCCTTAGGGATACGGCAGTTTGAGAAATTGGAAGCATAGTTCTTCCGTGACGAATTTGAATAAAGAAGCCAAAAACAGGTTTGCACAATGTATCCTGGATCATTTCGCTGCATCTGTACGCGTGCATACTGCAGTCTATGTGATCATTAATATATGGTCAGTAAATAACAGAATCATAGGCGGGGAAAGATTGCGGTCAAAATTACTCACCAACCACATTTGTTACCAAGGTAGCGCCAGCGTGATAAGCCATTCATGCTATTTTTATAATCTGGGATGGTAATTTTGAATGGTTAGTGCCTCGGCGTATTTCAGAACCTTGGTGTTGTTTGTGTTGTAGAGGATTCTGAACGCATCGCTCAGCATGACAGTGTTTCATTTCGACCAAGTGTTGTGTGATCGGCGAACTGAGTTTCCTACGCGTCATTGGTGACTTCATACTTCCGAAGTTCCCACTGATTGTTTTCTGAAGCCAGACCGGGATGCGCTTGGTTACTCAATAAAACAGTTGTCTCTCCGTTCTGCCGATGCAGATGGCCGAGCATCCGCACTTGAACTGATAGAAACAATTAGATTTGGCGTGGGAGACAGCGGTTCTTTCACCGATGGTATTGGCAACCGGGCGGTTGTAAAAACAACAGCGTACAGATGCAGCGAAATGATCCAGGATACATTGTGCAAACCTGTTTTTGGCTTCTTTATTCAAATACGGCAGTTTGCCGGATCCCGGGTGCTGCTTCTATTGGATACCCTGTTCATGGTGCTTAGAATCTGTCCTGGAATTTCAGGGAAGGAGAAATGTCGTTCGCTGTTTCAAGGGTGAGCCTCGAACTATTGCGAAACCAACTGCTTACTTGAACTCAGCAATGTGTATAGTCTCCAGTGGCGATGTAGGAGCTCAGTCACCATTCGGTAGATGGATACAAAATCCAGCGATCCGTGCATCTATTATTACATCTATTGGAGTCACCCTGTAGTCTACGGGTAATTATTGATGGAACTTTCAAGTAAAAACAATTTTTTTCTACGAAAAAAGGCGATCTAAAGATGGAAACTTGACATTGTGGATGAGAGAAGTAATCAGGGTATCCGAAGGAGTANTTGCCTAAACGGGTTCTGAGAAAAAGAAATCAAAGCAGAGAGGTAAAATAACATGGGTCCCTATCAAAGAGGCAACTGCAGATTGGAGAACAACGACGGTTCGTTGATCAACCGAATGAAGTTGAGTTCAATTCAATCAAAAATATTTTTATATTTTGACCTACGTCTGAATCCACACTGTGTCAAACAAATCATGGTACAATAATCTTTATAAAAAAGCGTTCCATGATTTGCATGTGGGTGGAATACTGCCAGGTTTNCCAGGTTTCCCTAGCCAAGGCAGGGGAATTTGCTTAAGGAATCCACAACCGGAGCCTTTGATAAAGCTGGACCCGCCAAGCAGCGGGACGATATGCGAAAACGGCAGTCCATTGGGGACCCGTGTCCAGTTTAACGGCACATACGCCCTTCGGACGGGGACAGACATCCGAGGTGCCCAATGCACCTCTTTGCTCAATCGAACTGGTGACCACTACTACATCCGGGACGTTGTTTATGTGGTTCGTACGTCTTTCATGGTTGGTTTGGAATCAGGGTTATTGGTCACCCCCGCCCCCCCCCTTAAGTCAACTACCAGTGGTCCACCAACCCGGTTATAGCCCCGTATGTCGGCTATTCGTCCCAATCACTTTGGTGAGAAAACACCTCTGCCACGAAAAGGCAGCGAGTAAGGCTTCCTCAGCAGAGGCTATTCGGTACGCTTGGTCCTATGGGGGCATTTCGTGAGGTGCAAGGGAAGGGTGACCAGCTGCAACCGTAGACGCCCATCGTCGACCATACTGAAGCTTTTGGAAAGAAAAGACAAAAATGTTAAGCTGCAATACATGTTAGCTGCAACATTCACACACACATCCGCTAGATTGAAGCTTTGAAAAAACTGAGGTGGATGAAAGTAATGTCACATTGAGACTGCACCTTGA